AGTGATTCGTTTCTGAATTGATCTTTAAGATTTTACTTTGTTGGAACTTCTGTTATTTTGATATTAATTTTTCTTCCTATTTGTTCATATTGTTTTGCACTTTTTATTAGTTTGTTACTAACCACGATTTAAAAACGTTTTTCCTTTTTATTTGTTTTCGCTAATTCTGTTTTTGTGTTTTCTGACGCTTTTTATATTGCATCTTTCTTAAATATATTTTATTTTCCCCTCTTTTTTATTTTATCTCTTTTAATTTATTTGTCGGTTGTATTTCGTTAATGTGTTCTGACATAATAAAATAATAGTTTTTAATGCAGATTTATTGCATTTATTTTATTTCTTATTCTAGTTTTTCCTGTATGTGCTTCTATGCTTATTATATCCCCAAAGGAAGTGTGAAAAGAATTACGAAAAGAAAAACAAGTCTCAGAGTTCATTAAAAGCACACTTGAGGTAAGGTGGTACACGCTTGATTGTTCTTTATATTGATTCTAGATTTATACTTTCAAAATTTCGCAAAATAGGATGCTAATTGTAATAATGATAATTATGATAATTGTGTAAATTAGAGCAGGGAAGTTTCTGGAAATATATTATTTGGTCATAATAAATAATAATGAATGGTTTCAATTCTTATGGCTTGAGTTTACATGTATACTTCCAAAGTTTTTTAAATATGGAAGCTAACACTATACCTACGATAACAGTGCAAATTAGAGAAGGAAAAATTACAAAGTTTCGAAAATATGATAGCTAACTTTGTACTTAGATAACAGTGTAAGTTTAGAGGAGGGAAAGTTCTGTACATATAAAATGCAACTTATTATTTGGTCCATGAAAGAAAAAAGGTTCATTTAATGAAATGTTCGTTATGTTTAATAAATTAAATAGAAAGCATTTCTAAGATTTACGAGCAGAATTAGTCGAGATATTTCAAAACTAATTTATTGATTTAGATAAGTTTTTTGGTGTTTACCAATAAAAAAATTTAGCAGATTTTGCTCAACATTTTGGGAGAAACCATGAAATAAAAGTTGCTTGTTTCGATAATTAATGCCTCCATAGACTACAAAACAGTATTCATTATTAATTTTGCTAATCGGTTCCATGAAATTAGTAATATCACCAGAATTTTGCGCTTACAAGTGTGAAATACCTTATATTTAACGTTTAGTGATCAGACATTTTGTTTCGCGGTAGCGAAATAAAATTTAGGTCTTTGTATTTACAAAGTTTCTCCATATCTTATGAAAAACAACATAATATATAAGATAAATCTCATATCTTATGAAAAACCACAAACTGTGTACGGTAATTAAGATACAATAAAACGCCGAACAAATATTCGTTTAGAAGTCAAACAACAAAATTGAGCGGTATTTTTTCATCTACATAGCTTTTATCTTACATAGCTTGCTGCTTTTCATAAGATATGGGATTTATCTTACATAGTTTGTTGTTTTTCATAAGATATGGAATTTGTCTTATATAGTTTGTTATTTTTCATAAGATGTGGGATTTATCTTACATAGTTTGTTGTTTTTCATAAGATATGGAATTTGTCTCATATAGTTTGTTATTTTTCATAAGATGTGGGATTTATCTTACATAGTTTGTTGTTTCTCATAAGATATAGGAGGATTTATCTTACATAGTTTGTTGTTTTTCATAAGATATAGGAGGATTTATCTTACATAGTTTGTTGTTTTTCATAAGATATAGGAGGATTTATCTTACATAGTTTGTTGTCTTTCATAAGATATAGAAGGATTTATCTTGCATAGTTTGTTGTTTTTCATAAGATATAGGAGGATTTATCTCACATAGTTTGTTGTTTTTCATAAGATATAGGAGGATTTATCTTACATAATTTGTTGTTTTTCATAAGATATAGGAGGATTTATCTTACATAGTTTGTGTTTTTTCATAACATATGAGATTTTCCTTAATATTAATATTAATTTAGAAGTCAAAGAACAAAAATCAAATATATTTTCAAATTTTCACAGGACTAGTTTCGATGGTTTTACAGAACCATCATCCTCAGCTGCAAAAGCGCAACTGAACGAGATAAGATATAATGATTAGATAAGAAAGCCTGGACAGGAGATAAGCGACTGGCGCCATCTGTTGATGAAACCAGAACGAAACATAATTTCTTTAAAGGCTGAAGGCAAAGATAGATGGAATTAGGGTCGTTAACTAGAACAGAAAGATTTTTTGAATGTGAACTGCCTCTATAAAATCCAGTTTAACAATGGAAGATTTTTTTTGAATGATTTTGGCAACAGAAAAATTGAAAGTGTGATTTTCCGACCAACAATATTGGGCAACAGAAGTTTTCCGGGTTTTCTTTTTTCTAACATATGCCTCAAGTCTTCAGCCTTCTCCATCTTTGCCTTCAGGCTTTAAAGAAATTATGTTTTAGTTCTGGTTTCATCAACAGATGGCGCCAGTAGCTTATCTCCTGTCCAGGCCTTTCTTACCTTATCTAATCATTATATCTTATCTCGTTAATTTGCGCTTTCAGAGCTGAGGATGGTGGTTCAGTAAAACCATCGAAACTAGTCCTGTGAAAATTTGAAAATATATTTGATTTTTGTTCTTTGACTTCTAAATTAATATTAATATTAAGGAAAATCTCATATGTTATGAAAAAACACAAACTATGTAAGATAAATCCTCCTATATCTTATGAAAAACAACAAATTATGTAAGATAAATCCTCCTATATCTTATGAAAAACAACAAACTATGCAAGATAAATCCTTCTATATCTTATGAAAAACAACAAACTATGTAAGATAAATCTTCCTATATCTTATGAAAAACAACAAACTATGTAAGATAAATCCTCCTATATCTTATGAGAAACAACAAACTATGTAAGATAAATCCCACATCTTATGAAAAATAACAAACTATATGAGACAAATTCCATATCTTATGAAAAACAACAAACTATGTAAAATAAATCCCACATCTTATGAAAAATAACAAACTATATAAGACAAATTCCATATCTTATGAAAAACAACAAACTATGTAAGATAAATCCCATATCTTATGAAAAGCAGCAAGCTATGTAAGATAAATCTTCCCACATCTTATGAAAAACAGCAAAATGTATAAGATAAATCCCATATCTTGTGATTTATGAATGAGCTGAGAACACTTTTGTAAAACTTCTATACATGATTTTGAGAAATTCTGTAGTTGGAAATCATTTGAGCAGTTTATATAAATTTAATACTGTAACGTTCGCTTTCTCTGAAGAGCATTCCTTCGTTCACCCATCCTCAAAGAACGGGCAGAGAACCCTCTTCTCGCCTCCGCCAGAAGACAGGGCGGAACTCCCCCCCCCCAGGCCGGGAGTAAGAAGATATTGAGATTGGGAAAAGGGAAGAGGAGACGTGGGTTTGCGAGCTCTATTGTAGTGAAAATATATTCTAAAGTTTTTCTCAAATGTAATTTGTGCATAGTTGTATGTATATAAGCAAGTATTTAGCCGAGAACAAGTTTTGTTTATCCGACGATGTTATAACTATGGTATAATACTAATCTAAAGCTGAAGTACGCTACGTTTAAGAAATTTAGATTCACTGGAACTTTTCTATTATTATTATTTAGATCCGCTGTTGGAGACAGCAGATTAACAGCCGAAAACAATCAACCGACAGCCAACCATATAAAACAATCGACAGCCAACCATATTACTTAAGTGACTCATCATATGTCTCATATTATGGTCTTCTTTTGTACTACTATGTCATTCGAACCAGTTTCATTCATAGAAAACACGCTGCCTTTATAAAAATGTTTCACTGGGCCTTTGCTGTTCATTTGCTTTGCTTTGTACTGAAGAACGAAGAATTGTGGTCATGTGGTGCTTTTGGAGATCTGAATTACTATATCCTTTGACTGTTTGTTCCTGTCAAAGATGCAATGATCTGGATCGTTGATCGTAATAAGCAACCATATATAAAAATTATAAGAACTGGAGGCTCCCTTTAACCCACCTGGGCACGAGTGTCTCCATAGCTCCAAAGAAGCGGCCCTGTCTTTCCACAAACGAGGGCAGCCAGCGGCTCAGCCGCCCCCCCAAACAATAAATAAAAAAATTAATTAAAAATGAGGAAGCACATCTAACAAAAAACTACAAACAAAAACCACAATCACGACATGGAACATCACATATATTTAAAACTCGTAAATACAGAACTGTTTTCGCTTCTGTTACTTAACCCAGAACTACTCTAACAGAACAAGAAAATGGCTCAGTTTTTCTCAAGCATATGAATTTTTCCTATTGAAATATATCAGCTGCAGTGCTTAGGCGCAAACAGAAAGTGTAATACTAATACAAACAATAAGGGGAACTAACTAACTAACTAAATTTATACCTGCCTCGCTAACTTAAAAGCACTACAGGGACTGAAATCAGTCAGAAGCCACCCTAAGGATGGAAAAACACCCCTGCTGGGCCCGGGGTCTCACATTCCCGAGAGACCAACAAATTTAGAACTCCCTCCGCTGATCGCTCAACGAACAGCAAGCCCACCGCTAAACACGGACCAGTCAAGACCACCGTCCCGGCTGGACCGAGACAACGGTTTGGTGGGCGATGACAACTTGGAGCGATGTCTGGCCGTTGATTGAGGCTACCTGCCAGCACTACACGGGATGCCCCTCTCCTTAGGCTTTACATGGAATACCAAGGACAGCAGTGACCAGACTCTCAATGGTCCAGTTTGCTATTTGGCTACCAATACCCTGGTGGAGGGGACTAACACCTCCCGGCCCATGAAGAGCAAGTATAGACTTACCCCATGGACCATCAGGAACCGCCAAGTTCAAAAATATTATACGCCGGTGGCCGAGACTGCCTAGGTACAGATCCTAGCCAACACTGCGCAGAGTACTCTACTTCGACCCCCAGGGGAGAACAATAAGGGGAAAACTTACAAAATGATATCTGAAAAAGAATTCGAAATTTTTACCTGGTTTTCCATTTGGGAAGCGTAACCGCTCTCCGAGGCTGTTGCATATTCCAACCTGAGTAGGCAAAAGGCAAGGAAAAGTAGATGTATAGAGCGCCACCTACAGGGACTCCCCCACTTTCTGATATCCATGCGGGGAGAAGTATCGCTGTCGTTTGCCCTGGAAAGAAAATAGGGAATTCAAATTATCAAGTGTCAAGAATGGAAATAACAAGCTGAAATTTAAAACAAATCTCTCTCTCACTCTCTCTCTCTATATATAAAGAAAATTTCCCGTTTGTTTGTGTATAATTAATATAAATCTATAGTTTTTATTCGATCTTGAGCCGACCAGCGGCTGAGCAGTAATGTCACTGAAAACTGGTAGTTCGGTCGGGTTTGGAATACCTGGCGAACGGAATGGCTTGATGGGTATTTTCGTGGTTTTCCCCATGTACAACGTGTATACGAGCATATTTTCCTGAGAAGGTCCTCCACAAAGGTATTCCTTCCCTTAGGCAGATAGCCCATAACTAAATAGTGCTTTGCCATAACTAAGTAAACCAAACTATTCCAATCTTCACGAAACTTTGCGCTCGCGATGTTTGAAACATGGTCACTGTCTGCATTAGGTTAATTGGAGTCATTAGGTTAATTGGAAGCAGAAAAGATGAAAAATATACAACCGCCTTCCCCGGGAATCGAACCACGGACCTCTGGAATACCGGCCCAGCGTGCTACCGTTACACCACGAAGCCACGCTAGGGAAGTGGGAGAAAATACCTTATATACTCCCCTTTTTAAAGGGCGACTTGGGTTTTAGGGGATCTAGTCGCCAAATCCTGGGTGCGGAGAATCATCATCCACAACCCTTTTAATTCGGGCGCCACTTATAATGTCATTAGGTTAATTGGAAGCAGAAAAGAGGAAAAATATACAACCGCCTTCGCCGGGAATCGAACCACGGACCTCTGGAATACCGGCCCAGCGTGCTACCGTTACACCACGAAAGCACACTAGGGAAGTGGGAGAAATACCTTAAAAGTTAAAGCCCATAATATGTTACGTTAAAGTAGTCTAATAGTGAAATGTTTATAAAAAATGGAAAATATTATACAAAATGTGCTTGAATAATGTCGTCTCCAAATGCTGGCAGGTTATTCTGTCGTTAACAACGTGGAAAAAATGTCCATAGCCGTATAGAGGAAGATGCTTAGTTTATGAGTTGTAAGATGTTGAACATCAATGATGAGGCAACGCCAGAATTTTTTTCACGAGTGCCTGCTATCTGATGAAATCTTCAACAGATTCTTAGGTATCGGGAGGAAAGGTCACCACGCGCGTTATCTTTTTGCGCGACCGCTAATACATACAATCACTTCGTATAAAGAAACCAAAAGGGAATTTATTCCCATTAAAACACACACGAAAAAAAAAAAAAAAAAAAAAAAAAAAAAAAAAAAAAAAAAAAAAAAAAAAAAAATTAAAGAATAAATATGTGATGGTGGTTAATGACTTTTTTAGCTGCTAAAAATGAAGTTATTCAGCGCAAATTAGCCTCCAAAAGAGAGTACTTCAGTTACAGGAAAGCGAAGCAATTAAATACAGATAAAATATTTTTTTAAAAAATGAAATCAGTTAGCTTAATAAAGAGTGATTTGACCCTGCTTAGGAACTTACGGGCGTGCTTATTAACGAGAAATTATTCATTGTAATTTTCTTAAAGCAAATGCATTACTTCGCGTTATTAGTAAGAAATCTTTCTCATCTTGAAATATTTTGTTCTTGACGTCCAATGGCAAAGTGCTCTTTCTGTACATCTGGGGTGTAATTGTAATCATCTGATTTTAATTCTGGAAATTTTCCTGCGTACATTGCGAAAAAAAAATGGGACAGTTCTATATCTCCCGATCTATTGCGGGCCCACCAGCGGCCGAGCGGTAAAGTCGCTGAACACTCGTAGTTCGGTCCGAGGTTCGAATCCCGCGAACGGGCTGGCTGCATGGGTGTTTTCGTGGTTTTCCCCATGTGTAACGTGTATACGAGCCAGTTTCCCTTAGAAAGTCCTCCACGAAGGCATCTCTCCCCTTAGGCAGATAGCCCTAGTGTGCTTTGCCATAATTAAATACACACACACCCGATCTACTGCGCGATTCACAAAATTCAACTTGCTTTTTTTAATGCCAGGAAAGCTCGACTTAGGATATATATTAAATTTATATATATCATTGTTCTTATATAGGTATTTTGACACAAAATCGGATTTGTTTTGAAATGACATGCCAATTTTTCCCATATTTCGATTCTACGACTCAAACGACTTTAGCAATACTACTTTAGCAAACGCAGAATTTTTGTTGTAAATGTAAATTTTTTAGTTTTCATGAAAAGGGATAAGTTTTCGAAATTAAATTTCCCCCTCTGAGTCGTGTTAGATCCAAATGAATCTCATCAAAAAGTAAATTTATTAATCTGTGTTAAATCCGAATCGTGTGAAATGAATATCAGTGTGTAAACATACTCGAAATTATTACTAATTGAATTATTTATTCATAATTACAAGCTAAAAGCAGCAATAATGTGAACTGAATAATTATTTAAAACTAAAACAAAAAAGAAAAATCTGAAGGCTTTCAGATGTTATATTACGTCCAAAAGGGCGTTTTTTTAACGTTTTGTGTGTTACCTTTATTTATTAAATATCATATTCTTTGCACTTAAACCACATAAAATTCATTTCAACAGCAAAATATTTAAAAATGGCATATCCTTAGAATTTCTGATACACAGCCTCGTTGGAGATAAATAGGTTTTTTTTTACGTCCATTGCTCGTTTTTACGTCCATAGGTTTTTTTTTCGTCCATTGCTCGCTCATTGAAATTGTCGAGTTTGTTAATAAAAAATTCGTTAAAATTTTAAATAGATGATAAAACAAACTCGAAATTCAAAATTCGGCTTTCCAAGTACCCATGTTCGGTTGGAAGACTACGTTATTCAAAATCATTTATATTTTTTAATTAAAAAAATTAATTAAATTATATTTTTTTCATAACACCTACGAAAATTAATTAATCTAATCATTTTATATTTATATATAAATTCAATAGCTCTAGGTAACGTTGCTTTTTCCCAACGCGAGAAACATCGTATTGTAGAATTAGTAATGTAGTTATAGAATTATCAACAATTTAGAAGTTGATTAAGTGCGCTTAAGCCTAATTATTTTTTACCATAGCAGCCATATTGGTTTACGTTTGAATCTTAGTAGAATACTGAATTAAGTCAGTTTCTGGATCTTCAGTGTCTTTTTATCCAGTAGGACCAAAATAAATTTTTAGTTATTCAAAATTTTACGGCTCTATGTACCGTCGTTTTTTCACAATGTGAGAAAAATTTATGCGTTCATGCAGATTCTTCTTAATTTTGTTTCTTTAAATATAATACCCGGCGATAATATTTCGTGGCAACAGTTTGAAAAGTGAACTAACGCAGAAAATGAAACGACGCAAAATGCCGTTTTGAGACTAATAGCCCTGAGGATCTCAATGCCTCTTTGGACTAATAACTAATATAAATAACAATAAATTTCCGCCAATCAAATCCAAGCAAATTGAAAAACTGTTAGCTAATTCCTTAATTAAAGATACGAAATGCTTCCGAGTAAAGTTAAAGAACATTTAAAAGTACGTGTAAAAAAATAAAAATGCGAAGTATTTTAAAATAACAGTTCCGAAATAACTAAAAATTTCATTGAGAACTGTCAAGTCAATTCACGAACGAGTTATATCTAATTCAGGGTTATCAAATTCACTTAGGTAATTCATTCGTGAATTAACTGCGGAGATATCAATTTTCCTTATTACTTGGAAGAGAAATAAGCTGATTGTAACATTAGAAAGTGCTAGCTTACTTTTTTCATCCCTTTAATCTTTAAATCTGTATTTTTTCCGTTAATATGATGACTTGTGTAGGAGTTGAGCGTAAAAAGTCACTTATTTTCCGTTAACATTAATTTTGTGTAAAGTATAGTGTTACAAATTGTTTAAAGCATTGTTTAACGATATTCGTACAGTAGCTTAAATCGATTTTGATGAAGGATTAATTTTAATTAAATTATATTTTTTCATAACACCTACGAAAATTAATTAATCTAATCATTTTATATGTCGCATGAAATCTTCGTTAAGAGGATTAAACATAAATATTGGCGAAGTTTATGGTTCTATTTTCATCATATGATATATATGTTTTTATAGGATTTATATGAAATGATATTATTACACGCAGGATCTAGCGGATAAAATACACACACACACAACTCTAGTGTAGAATTGGGTGCCCCTTCGATTGGCGACAATTGTTTTAAAATTTTGGCGATAAAACCTCACTTCTGATTACCACGTTGTTTTAGCTTCCGGATTTTATTTAAATGAAAATAGATTCATGTGTACATGGACATATTTAAGGCAGTGCGCAATGCCTAGTTTGTGCAATTCTAGGATGTTCTTTTAAGTAAAAACAGATCGATGTGTACATGGACACAGATGTTGTGCAATTCTTTGACTTCTTATTTTGGTTTTTGTGCAGCAGCCATCTTGAAATTGTGCTTACCTGGCGCCTATCTTGGCATCAAAAAAGAATCGCCAAGAAACAAGGGGCACCCAGTTGTAAACTTTTACCAAAAATTCGATACTAAAAGTGTGTAGCTTGAATAAAGAGTGAGGTTGGCAAAAACTGTTTTGGTGACGTCATCCTACACATCTCCTCTGTCCATGCGGCCACTTTCGACTTAATCGATCACACTGATTGGGAGTATGCGAACATGTGTAACTGTATTCTGCCGGAAAAAATGTCTAATGTAAAAACCGAACAGCGAATCAACATCAAGTTTCTTGCAAAACTTACGAAATCAGCCACAGGAACATTTCAACTTAAGGAGATGAAATTTTGTCTTCTGCACGTGTATTTGAATGGGATAAGCGGTTTTCAGAAGGAAGGGACAAAACACGCATGTCAAAATCAAAATTCAAGGTATTGTTAACTGTCTTCTTCGACATTAATGGAATTGTAATGATCGTGTGGGTTCCCAGTGGTCAAACTGTTAATCAACACTATTACACTGAAGTACTAAAAAGACTTCGTGAAGAAATTAGGAAAAAAAAAGGCCACAGTTGTG